CCCCCCCCCCCCCAAATTACCCCCAAGCCCAGTGAGGGGGTGCAGCACCCCGCAGAGCGAGGGTGTGGTACTTTGATTTGGGCACGGGGGGGGCTCGGGCAGCCCCTCATCTCCTGTGCCCCCCTGGTCCCAGCTGAGCAGGGGGTGCCGGGGGCAGCAAAGCAGGCAGCAGAGCAGGGAGTGACCATGTCCTACCTGCTCCTGCTGCCCGAGGCCAGTGAGCCCAGCACCAGGCACGGCCGCTCCCTGCCGAGGAGCCTTCAGGCAGATTGGACAGCCCTAGGCAAGAGCAGACAGCAGCCAGGGATGACAGCAGAAACAGCTGTCACGCCCCCGGGTAGCGCATGCACCCTGTGGCAGCGCCTGCCTGCCTGCCTGCCTGCCTGCCTGCCAGTCCGTCCCGGACGAGGGGTGACCCTGCTGCCGACTGCCTCTTCAGCCAGCCCACCTCTGCCATGCTCTGGGACAGAGAAAACAGCCTTGAAAGTGTTAAAGCTTGCATCATTTTGCGCATTAAATCTCTTTTCTTGGGTCCCTGCCAAACAGGCAGGGCTGAGGATCGGGCAGGGAGGAGGTCCAGATTCTGGCATTTGAACATGTTTTGAAGCGTTTGCAGCAATCACTGCCTTCTCCTGCCTGCAAAATGCCTTGCTATAAGAGGCACACGTCCCCGGGCAGGAGCGGCTGCACAGCCAGCGTGGATGTGTGGCGTGGGCAGGAGGCAGAGCTGCCCTTCCTGCTGGGGACATGGAGGGGACGATGCTGCTGGAGACAGAGCATCGGTGGCTTTGTAGCTCCCAGGCTCGGCCATGTCAGCCTGAGGCAGCGCAGGTGAGGGGAGAGCCCCGTGTCCTCCCTCGGGGGCAGAAAAAGTGATTTAGTTTTACCAAGGCAGGTACTCCCCCGAAGGGACTGCAGCTCATGGAGGAGCCTGCGCCAGGGTGAGCGAGATGAGTAAGAAGGAAGGAGTGGTAGGAAGAGACCAGAGGCTCTCACCCTGCGTGCCACCTGCTGAGTCACCAAAGGAACAGGGAAGGACTGGATGTAGGGTGGGGAGAACACAGGGAGTGGAGACTACAAGCGGGAGAGGGAGGTGGTGGCTGGCATCGAGCCTGGGGAAGGAAAGGTGCTTCCCCGAGGACTCCCTTTTCTTTATGGCTTTTTTGCTTCTCCATGCCTGGATCCATAGGTAAAAGGGCCCTTCCATGGGTCCACCACGCTCTCCAGAGGTTTCCCACTTCTATAGTCAATGGCCCAATGTCCAAGTGGAAACCAGGAAGGAGTGGTGTCCCTCAGGGGTCCATACTGGGACCTATTTAATATCTTCAACCACATAGACAGTGGGATTGAGTACCCCCTCAGCAAGTTTGCGGGTGACACCAAGCTGAGTGGTGCGGTCGACTCGCCTGAGGGAAGGGATGCCATCCAGAGGGACCTGGGAAATCTGGAGGACTTGGGGCTGTTCAGCCTGGAGAAGAGAAGGCTCCGGGGAGACCTTACTGTGGCCTTCCCATACATAAAGATGGAGACTTTTTATCAGGGCCTGTAGTGCCAGGGCAAGGGGCAACGGTTTTAAACAGAAAGAGGGCACGTATAGATCGGGCATAAGGAAGAAGTGTTTTGCGATGAGGGTGGTGAGACACTGGACTAGGTTGCCCAGAGAAGCTGCGGGTGCCCCATCCCTGGAGGTGCTCAAGGTCAGGTTGGTCGGGCCATTGAGCAACCTCATCTAGTGCAAGGTGTCCCTGCCCACGACGAGGGGTGGGACTGGGTGATCTTTGAAGGTCCCTGCCATCCTGTGATCCCACGATCCACAGGCAGGCACGGGGAAGGGGGGGAAACCCCGCCCGCCCCCGCCCCGCACTACAACTCCCGGCGTTTTCCCCCCCCCCCACTCCAACCCCCGGGGTGCCCGGCGGCGGGCGGCCACCGCTGCGCCTGCGCACCGCTTGGAAGCTTCCAGGCGGCGGGCGCGGTGCCTGCTGGGTAGAAGACGGGCAGTCACTTCGGCGCCATTTTGTGGCGAGGGAGCGAGGGGTTGTGCGCGTGTGTTCGGCGCCCTGTGGTGGCGGTTAGCGCTGCACCGTGTGCTTGCGGATCGTGGACAGCGTCATGGGCTCGGACAAGCGGTGAGCGCGGGTGGGAGGGCGAGGAGAGAGGGGAGGGATGGAGAGAGGGGAGGGGGCGGGCGGCCCCGCGGGGTGGGCGATGGAGGGGGTCGCTGCGGGCTCTTCTCGTCCTGAGCTCGGCCCGGTGTGCTCCGCAGGGTGAGCAGGACGGAGCGGAGCGGCCGCTACGGCTCCATCGTGGAGAGGG